GGGCTTAGGCTTGTAAGTTGAAAAGTGAGGAGAGAAAAAAAAAAAAAGAAGCTTGTATTTTCAAAGCTATTTAAGGGTAATTGGACATCCACATCCCTTTAGTATTCATGGAAGCTTGGCATCTGAATGCCCTAGGCAGCTTTGAAAATCTGCCAAGTCTTTAACACTATAAATTCTGATATTTTCTGTTTGTTTGGGAGAAGTGGATAGGGAAATCAAAAAAAAAAAATAGTTCTGCATTTTGATGTGAAAATGTTAGATAGATGCTCTTGGAGAGAGAAAGTGGGGCCAGAGGGGGGGGGGGGGAAAGCAGCAGAGCACCTCCTTGCACTGAATTTATGACTATAGCAGGGCAGGCAGTGCCCCTTGCAGGAAGCCTCCTTAGAGATCCTTCACTAGCCCCAACGTTACTGGGCGTGCTGTGGAATTAAATCCTCACAAGTTTAAAGGACGGTAAAGATATTTAGCTTTCCCGATGAGATCAGAAACAAGCCAAGTTCCTCTCTTACAGATCTGATTTAGTTGTAGTAGTGGTTTCTTACAATAGTGCCTAAAGGCAAACCGAGGGTGGGGGCCACGCTGTGCTCCGCTCAGTAGCACATGAAGCAGCAACCAGCCCCTGTCTCAAGGAGTCTGCAGAGAAGGGAACTGGTGCAGTTTGAAGGAAGAGCTGGAAAAGCTGAGCAGTGCGGGGACAGGAAAAGAAGAAGTTTGTTCTATGTTTTCAATTCTTTTCTTTTGCTGGAGGGTTGCTCCATAGAGGGTAAATAGAGAGAAAAGTGAAAGGAAAGGGGATGGGCTTGAGTGGGAAATGGGCAGGGTACGAGAGAATAAGGGGGCAAGTAGAAACTGAAGACTCTGCAAAAGCTGGAAGGAGTCTCATAATACTTGTGCCGCTTTGTGCGGGGAGGGAGGGAGAGCAGTCAAGTCTGTGAAAAAGAATGAAGAAAAACCTCCATGTCCCAAAGCATCTGCTTTTGCTATTTCTGTTTTTATTGGGTCTAGAATCTGTGGTTTCTTTCCACAGTTTGTACTCAGCCAACCTGTGCTGAAAGTTAGGGTGAGGAGATCCAGTGTCCAACTTTCTCCAGGGTGTGTGCGCCATTTCTCCTGCACCATTCGCCTGAGCAATGATCTGAGCAGCTCTCCGTTTTATCCCTTCCCCCAGTATAACAGTCTGGCGATTTCTAGAGCTTCTTCGCTGGGCAGGAACGTCAGCTCATGTCCTTCATGTTTTAGGAGGCACTCAATCAAGAATGGGTCCTTCAGCAGTAGAGCCACAGATTTTTAGGACTGTAACTTTGTGCGGCGTTTTACCCGCTTCTGTTGCTGTCGCATCTCTTCTTTCCTCTGTTGTTTTTCTATATGTCAGCTGATTTGTCGTCTCAGCCTCAGACGTGATTTCCTTTCAGTGATGCTATGTGTATAATTCAGAACACCTTGTGATTTTTACTGGTTATCTGTTCTTCCAGTTATTTACTGCTTGTTTTGACACTTGCAGGGTGTCAAACCCTAAATAAGGGGTTTGTTTGGGACTTATGCGGAGAGGCACCTTTCCTTATTATTTCCTACTAATTTAAAGGACACTTTCTTCCTCCTTCCCTTCCCTTGGCAGGAGTGCAGAGGTGCATTTTCTACTCTGTTCTTCAGAATTTAAATATTCAGGACTGCCCATTACATTCTGGTCTCATTTGCTTAGTGAGCTCCTTTGATTGGAGTCCATAACTTTCCAAGTGCCAAGCAAGGCTGAAAAGTTCTGCGGGCTACAGGATCCTTTTGTTTCGCGTGTCTCTTTTTGTATGCAAAGCATTCATACCACGCTGTTGAGTGAATGGCTCTTTGTCCAGGCTCTGGTGAGAACAGAGCAGTGGAAGTCTGCAGTAATGCTGTTCTTTACATCAGATGTATCATTAACTCCTCCTAACCCGTATTTAATGTCCTGTTGTTCATGCAAAGCTCCCTCATAGAGAGATAGGCTGAGGTTTGGCAGTGTAGTGAGGCGTTGCGTACTCCTCAGTTTTGGTACAGAAAATTGCCTGCTTTTATTACTGCTTTATTGATTTATATCACAAAAATCAGTATGCATAGCTCTAGTGAGATTTAAATGCAAATACCTAACGTTCTGCAAACATCTATCTTCTGTTTCACAGAATACTGGAAACAGCAAGAATACAGTTCTTGCTGTAAGAACTAATGGCAAGTTACGAAAAATGAATATAAAAATCTACTTGTTGTTCGAAAACGGAAGCTTTCCTTGCATACCTCTCTCAGTAGGGAGGGAAAATGTCTTTTTGTATCGATTTAAAATGTATTTTCGTTGGGTTACCTAGCAGATAGCAAGGGAGAGTGACATCCTCTCCCTGTAGCCAGAGAACAGGAGCAGCCATCATCGTGTGTACGGTGTACGTTTTATCAGCAGCATATCTTAGTTCTGTCCTGGGAGATCACCACAGGGAAGGTGTCAGCGTACTTCTCTAGAACTTTCTCTTCGCTCTTTTTGTATCTTTTGTTAAGACGATGCTATATGTTACCAAGCATTATAATATCTGGGAGAAGCAAGTGCAACTATTGAAACCAATAGATTTAAAATAAATGAAAATAGGTTGGATTTTACACATCAGCTTAGCAAAATGATGGAGTTTGAGGTGTGTGGAAGTGTGTTTGTTCTTAAGGCTTCACCGATTTATTTCATCCTTGTAATAACGCACTAGGAATGACCTCAAGTAGTTAATTGTATTCATTCTGAATTGCACACGCTAGAAATAAGTGTTGAGAGTATGAATGCGCTGAGAGGGGGCAGGTAGGGTTAAGCGGTGGATTCGGGCATAGCAGAGAGTTGGAAGGCAGGTATCTATTTAATTTCACAGCTTCAGTAGCGCTGATATCGATGAAAGGAGCATGGGTAGGGTGTGAAACCGCTTGGGGAGAGTATAGGAGAAAGCACAAATGCCATTGATGCACCATAAAATTTCAGAGCGAGATTGACAGCCGTTCTTGTGCCAAGTAGCAACGTACTCCGTGAGCGTTCCTGTTGATTCAGTGCAACCACTGAGAGATTATGGTGTTCCTCAAGATGTTTAGAACTAGATTTTTACCCTATTGTCAGGTTAGGTAGACGTTTTTCTTTATGTGTTTGGATTAGCTCTGTGAAATCACAACAGTGAAATCGTTTAGCCTGTTTGTACCTCAATGTTTGAAGAGCCTTTCAATTTTTAGGACTCCTTAAATTCTATTCTCGTACTTCCGTAGTCCTGTAGTGCCAGCCGTATCATTTTAGCATAACTGAGAAAAAATTGATCCCTTAAAAACATAAGTCTGCAGAATTTTACCCATGTCTTGTGCCTTTTTTTCCCCCCCAGGATTGATTAAATAAAATGCTGAGATTTTGGAAACCTTCACCACTGACATAGGAGCTCTCACTGAGTTGCAGCAGTGTATTGGACAGGCTAAGCCACCAGGGTCAGGCAGGCGTGATTTTGTTCTCAGCTTTGGGACAGACTTGTGGTAACAAGCTATCATTTTTGTTATGTCTCTGTACAACATAGAGATGCCAGGCCTAGTTTTCAATGAGCTGTTTCAGATAAGGCAAGTGGTCTTACCGTAGTCCTCTCAAGGTTAAATAAGCCTGAACTGACTCTGTGCAACTGTGGCTGCACTGCTTCTGCAGGTGGATTACTAGTTCAGTTTGGGTTTGCTTCGTATGCACTGCTGGTTCCACTGTAATGTAAACCACTGATTTCTCTGTGCCTCAGTTTCTCCCTCCGCAGAGGAGTAGTCCACCTTTAAACCCTTGTTGGAAGGTTGCTGAAACTTAAGTGGTGGTGGTGTGGTTTTTTTATTTATTTATTTTTTTAAAAAAGTACTGTGAAGTCCTGAGACGAAGTGAGCTGTGACAGGCCAAAATGTTAATACGAAGGTTGTGGATGGTGATGCTAAAACATGTTACTTACCTGGCAGATCATCTGGGGAGAATGAGGTTGAATTCAATTACACTAGTTAATTTTTCTTTACAGATCTGTGGTTCTTACATAAAGTTGTAGGCTGGTACCTTAGAGGAGCATAAAACTGCCACTTCTGTCTTTTGAAATGTTTGGGATGAATGTGTTAGGGTTCTGTCATGAACCTTCTGTATGCAAACCAACAGCCCATGATATTTTCTTTATTTTATCTTGCTGGAATGTAGCACGACCGCTGAAAGGCCCAGTATATGCACTTGCCATGTTCACTCTGTTCTAATTAACTGTAGGTGCCTGGCTAACAAAATTAGTCAAGCACGCAGAAATGTGTAAAATCAGCTTATCTTATTCTGGGCTGGGAGTAATTGTCCTCCTTCATTAAAGCTGCTGCAAAGAACCATTAAATTCTTTATGGAGCTGTATATCTGAAACAGCGGGTGCTCCCACTGAACGCAAATGCATAACCCTGCCTTCAAGGCACATGCATTGCATATGTAGGTAAGAGAGTTTTCTCTGTGGTGTTGGAGTTGTGCCTCTTTGCCAATGGCATTTTCGCGCTGCCACAGGCCATTCCCACTCACGTGGACTCGGTCAGTAGTGTTGGCAAAAGTGAGCGTTTGCCACCTGGATAGCTTTGTTTGAAATAACACCTGGAGTTGGAAGGAATGACAAATACTAGCAAAACAAACTGAGCTGGAGAAAGGGATTTGTTCAGCCTCATTGCACACTGGAATATCACTCTGGGAAAGGATGGAGTAAGAACTGACAGCATCTTGGAGCTGTGAGCAAAGAAACTTTCTTGGTTCCTCCCGCATGCAGGCTAAGAGGACTGTGTATGTCGTATGAACAGGTTAGGTTTGAAGATGCTGCCTCTCTCTTTAGTAATTTTTCCCTCCTAAATGAAGGCCCAACTGTGAGATTACGCATTTGTAGTTTGAGCTAAAAGCACTTTTAAATTGTTTGTGATAATTGTACACGACTTATGGTGTTTGGGTTTTGTTCTTATTCAGTAGAGGTTGCTCTAAACGCCATCTCATTGTTTAGGTATGGAAACCTGGAGACCTCAAGCTGTGAAGATGACGGGAGCCAGAATTCCTCCGGGTCCAAAACAGTACTCAGGAAGTAAGTGTGGCTTTTCACTGTACAGCGAGCCCCAGTCAGACTCGGTATTGGAGGAGGATGTGAGGAGAGTAGCTGTTGTTTCCCTTGGAAAATACATGGCACTCTTTGCCTGCTGTTTGAAAGGTCAAGTATCCAACTGTCTGTAACGTATCCGTAATACAACGCAGGAATCCTTCGGTCAGGGAAATCGTCACAGGGGTGAACATGATAAACTCAGGTAGGCCAATGTTTTGTTGGTTAAACATGTAAGGAGTGTTTGTTTCCCTTGCTTTACTTATCTACAGCAGTAAAATGGTTATTGCTTTTGACTGATTTTATTGTGTATTACAACAGTGTCTGCAGACGGAAGCTAAGGTTGTATCAGGCGCTGTGCCTATACATGTATCTTTTCCCTCAGCGTGGCCCGTGATTTACAGTGTTGCTTTTAAAGTGAAGTTTAAATTCTGATGCCATCCTGTGTTGCAAGAAAAATTGCAAGCAGTTTTAAAATGTTGCTTAAATGAAAAAAGTGGTTTAGTTATTAGCATCATAGGAAATTGCATTTTAGCTTTAGACGTTGGGTATGAAAGGAACCTTAGGTCATCAGCATTTGTACTTTGACATCTGTATGATCTGTGGTTTGCATGCACTGTGGCAGTAAAAAGTAACTGAGTGATTATATTTAGTTACAGTGTGGGGAGATGTTTGATTCTTGTCAGCATCACTGGGGATTGTGGGTTTTCCTATAATTCTGTTGCAGCTTCCATTAGTTAAGAAAACCTTAAATAAATTCCGTTATCAGTGCACTGGTTTGTCAAAGGTGTGATGGAAGAAGAGGCCTTACAACTTGGCTTCAATTTGTTTTAAAGCAGGAAAAAAATCAAACTTTTTTTGTCTAGCAGATGAAATACAAAGTCCAACCAGGAAATTTGAGAAAACTACTGCAGTATATTTCTCATTCCTAGGATTCAGGCAGATTAATGTGATAAGACCACAGCATGTTTATTCAAATCCTATTCTGCTCTGCAATATTGGGCCTGTCCTTCACGCTGTTCACCTGTATGGTGGCGTATGTGCTGGGATAGGGGGGTTTGAGTCTGGCTTAAAATGATTCAAATATCCCCAATCCAGAAGCGTGCTGTTAACGTACCAAATACCTTCCTACCCTTCATTGTGTGAACTGAATGGTTAGACCGTAGGGTTGCTTTGCCTTATGTCATCCATTGTGGAATTGTTTTGTTTAACCACCACAGATAAATTGGTAAAGGCTCCTTGTCCATGGGAATTTCAATAGCTTTCTGTGAAAAGAGAAGTAATTATGCTTGCTTGACTGCAGAAATGCAGAGCTTAATTAAGGTCTTTAAATGTTATGGAATTCTCATAAAAAGGGTCTGTTTAGGAACAAAACATTATCCCTTGTTAATTTTATTTTTTAATGCTTAGCAAGGACAGAAGGCTACAAACTCCAGTGGTTTGGGGTGTTCTTCTTGCCACTTGAGATTCCACGTGACAGCTCAGTTCTCTGTTTCTGTACTGGTTGGCATAAAAGAGAACTATCTGCTTTTTCCTCTCATTTTGCCACGAAGGACTCACTGAAGAACAGATGATAGTTTAAACTTGGTCACAAGCACCAAGAAGGCAGTGTTATATAGTGTGTAGAGACAACAACAGGGAGCCAGCAGGGTTCTAGACTCCCATGCAAAATGGGCTGTAGGATGTCTTCCAGTGTTGGGCAACCATTTGACTTCTCCAAATCTCAGTCAGCCCAGCCATAAAATTTGAGCAAAAGCAGTAACCTTCCTGCAGACTAGATAAAGGATTTGTATGGAGGACGTGGAAGATAACTTTCACCAGTGAGATGTCATGTTGAGATTGATCCCTTCCCTGCCTTTTTCCTAGACTCAAAGACAGGAATAGAGTTTCAGCTTCATTATGAGCTGGAAAGAAAAGGAGTGAAAGTAATCTTGATGTTATATGTCACTCAAGGTGTGGGCAAAATGTATCAATTTTATGTTGTATCTGGAGGTAAGGGTGCAAGAGAAAACAGCATTTAGTAGGAGCATATTTGTTCTTTTTAACATCATCAGTACTGTGTTCACGCTGTCTTCCCTCTTGGCGTGTAACTGGCCTGTACGTCGTTTGCACAGGCAGTGAATGACAGGTTGATGGAGTTTGTGTTCCTGGGGCAGCCCTACCTCTGAGGAGTGAGTCTGATATATAACTATCATGAATGTATTCAGCACAGCTGAGTTTGATCCTTTGGTCCTCATGAGACGTACCTTTTACATCTGAATTTGAAACCTGTTACCCAACTATTTATTTGTAGAAAGTTCAATAATGAAGTTGACAAAGTAATGCACATCAAGTATAGATGTGAATTCATGTACATGATCTGTTAAAATACACTTTCCTACCCTAAAAATTTCCATTACCTCTCAGTTGCTCTTGCTACTTGTCTCTTAGATATGATTAATGGGATCTGGAAAAGAGGTTGGCTTTGTAGGCCTGTTTTGAAACATGCAGTTCTAGTAGTTCAGGTTTTTTCTTGTCGAGGGATAATTCCAATATAATTGCATTTACCCTCTTCTCTCATAGAATAGAAATGTGATGCAGTTGTGCTCTGTTTTGCATTACTTGGGGAGAAAAAAGGAAGTAGTACTAGAGCCGTGTTGTTTCTTGTCCATTAGCTCTGTATTTCTCCAGAAGAAGAATACCTCATTGGGAATTGCATAGTCCGTGAGCAGTGATACTCTGTGTTTCTTTTCAGACTCCTGTTGTGACAGTTCTGAAGTTTAAAATTCCACTTGGTGTTAGAAAGCCATGAAATTTAAAGCATTTCCACTAATTTTATTTAAAAAAAAAATGCTTCAGAAGTGTTAGGAAGTTGAAAACAACTTCAGGAGAAGAATTTATGACTTTTTAAAGACCTCATGGAACTTTTCAAGTAATGAAGTTTCTGCAAAATCTTGTGTATGGGAGGAATATTATGTCCTGTGTGTTGCACTATAAGCTCCCTGGTTACTTTTTTCTGTGTTGCAGGTCTCTACTCTTTGTGCTTGTGGTATGGAGTTGTGATGTATTTTGAGAAGGAAAATGTCGGATGCTTGTAACCTCCTTATAGTTATTTTAGTATTCCACCCAGTGTTCGCATACTTCAGGACTTGGAAGTCATATCCTAGGGCTTGAGCGCGCTCATGGCAAAGTATTGTTCAAGAGACCGATGGGAGCTATAAACCTATCCTTGTGTTTCCAAATCCTGGATTTGAGCCAGCAGCTGCTTCTCACACTTGCTGCAGTGACATATAGTTGTTACTGACCCAACTATGTTCAGCCACTTACCTTCTAAGGATCCTTTCTGCCAAGGGCGTTTTCTGCTGTTCGTTTAAGTGTTACTCTTACCCTTTTGGACCACTGGAGTGGTCAAAAAGTCGAGAAGTTTGATTTTTGACAGGGATCTGACTTATTTGTGTCTAATGCGCAATGTCTTTCAGGATTTTTTAGTGTCATTTTTTTTAAAGCTGCACTCAGTAATACACAGTATAAATAAAGGTACCCTAATATTGTAACTTTAAAAGTGCATGCACATCTTGGACCTTAGACTTATGAGTAAGTTCTGAACACCATCAAATATTTTGTGAGCTTAAAGTGACATGTATGACTCTAAGCTTTTTTTTTTCAATTGTGTATTGCAACAGTGAATCAGGTCCCACCTCAGCTTTTCATGGTCATAGCTTTCTTTCCACAGTTCACGCTACTGTCAGTCAGTCGAAAAGTTCATGACTGCAATGTGAAAGCTAATAGCACGAGCATGAAGTCCAGAAAAGTTCAGATATACTGGTCAAATGTCTGAGTCTCATGGACTTTAGCCCGTGTTCCCAGAAATCTGATGCCGTGTCTCGGATGCCGCGCCGATGCTGTTGTGGGACTTTGGGTCTTATTGAAATTGTGTACCCCATATAAGATAGAAACAATGCTTTTAGTAATATGACTTGATCACCATGATCTCTATTCACAGAGTAGAATTCCTCAGTTATCTTTTAAGTCACTGGTAAAAGATTGACTTTTCTGTGCAAATGATCTGTGTTACAACTTGTGCCCTATTTCCCTCCTGCTCTTTTAAAATGGTTTAAAGTTGGATTTCTGGGCAGATCCAGCGCTGGCAGACAGCTTTACCAAATGCACAGACTCATGCCTTTAAAAAGTCGATGTATTAAAGGACCTCAACACTTCTTTCCGATAAGATAAGCACTAAAGACCTGGCTGGAGCTTGTTAAGGACAGAGAACCACGAAGCATTTGAAGGATAAAATATTGCATCTCCTTGCACCGGCTGCAAGTCAGTAGCTTAACTGGATATTGGGAAGCCTCTGGCTAGCTGTGAAGGTCCAAGCTGGCATCACAGGGACATGGCCTTAAGCACCATCTTAGGCTGCGAGACCAGGAGAGCTGATGTAGCACGTCGCGCCTCGTGGGTAAAAGGCACTGAGCATGTCACCAGGACATTGAAAGATTTCTGCCAGGAAATTTCCCAGAGGAGGTGATTCAGTCCTTTGTATCACAGCTGAAAAATGGTCCGGCAGTCCAGGTTTGCCTGCAGTGTTTGCATTCAGGGAAGACTAGTTTAATGTTAACGGAGCCTAATTACTTCAATACCCTGCTGTCAGATCTGGTAGTACGTACCTGAGGAAATTTCCTGCTGGAGAGGGGTTTTCAAAAGAGGCAGATAATGTTGCAGCATTGGTTGTGACTTGGACCATTTTTTTCAGAGGTCTAATATCGGTCCATATTTTTTAAAGATACCCTTTAGGCGTTTCACTAAATCTAGCGTGGAGAGGTGAGAAGAATGTTGTCTGTAGCACCTGACCTTATGTCTTTGGCTATACATAGAAATACCTCTCGCATCTATAGCCAACCAGATTACTTCAGTAAGAAACTCCACATGGTGGGCAAACAGAAGATCACAGGGAAATGCTGTGCAGTTAACCATGAACCATGCTTTGATGCTTTATTTATTTATTTATT